AGTGGGGGAGAAGTGAGGGGAGTGGGGGAGAAGTGAGGGGAGTGGGAAAGAAGTGAGGGGAGTGGGAAAGAAGTGAGAGGAATGGGGGAGAAGTGAGGGAAAAGTGAGGGGAAGAAGTGAGGTGAGTGGGGGAAAGTTGAGAGTACATAGACATGAGGTAGGAGAGAGATTATAAGTGAGGGAGAGTTGGGTAAGGGGAGAGAGGTGTGGAGATGGTGAAAATATTGGCATGAGTCAAGACAAAGTTGTAGGGGAAGGGGGCTGAGATGAGAGGACTAGGTGATATAGGTGGAGATAAGGGTTGGGGATGTGAGAATGGGGGGGGGGAGAGTCAAGATCAGACTATGGAGATAAAATGAGCAAAAATATATAGAGGTGGAAATAAAGATGCAGGAGATTGAGATAAAGGTTGTAAATATAGGTGGGTGGGAGGTTTGGAGAGGGGGACATCCCTACCTTCCCCATCTTCATCATAATTATCCAAGTCATACTCTTCAAGAACCTCATTGTCTTCCGTGTCAGAATGATCTGAATCTTCGGGAACTTGTTGGCTCGACATTCCCTCGTTCATCTGTTCTTCATTGTAATCACTTCCTTCTGTGTCTCTGAAAAAAACAAACCCAACAAATTCAATATTATTTACTATAATTACACAATCAATGTAATTCAGCCAATATTCGAGATAGTATATATTTTACAAAGTTGAATACTCGCTTTATTTTCTCTTTAGCATCTTTGATTAAATCTTCTAATTCTTCTTGGGATAATTCAACCTTGAGAATATTGGAGTATCAATGTTTTGGTAAGTAATAATTAGGCCTGTTTCATAATTCAGACAAATTTAATTTGTTATAAACCCATTGAGTGGCAGCACTCTATCCCTGATGAGTAAAATCATCTGGCATTAGACAGAATGAAATTTGTTCCGACGACGAATTTAATTCAGACAAACTCATTTCATGACTAGCGATCATGGATTACCCAGAAATAAAAACCAAGAAATCAGAAAGAGAGAAACAGACTTTAACATAAGTTATACATTTAAATCGACATGACGATAAGGCGTCGTATGAAATAAAGAAGACGTGCTACAGACATTGTTATCTGTCTGAAAATGACGGATAAAACTTCTTGGACGAATTTAATTCAATTTTTCAGATTCGTTTCATACGATGCACTACTGTCACATGTAATTTGTTTAATTAAATTCATCTGAATTAAATTCGATGATCGTGTGAGAACACAGGTCCGTGCTACTTGGCATTATTGCTCTTGACAACGTACTAGATCATAATTTGTAAATGGTCTATTCGTTCAGCTAATATACCTTTCTCATAATGACGCCATAAATACTTACAGTAGGCAATGTTAATTAATACATGGGACAATTTTTGGACACAATTTGTAGTGAGGGTATCTTACATGATTAGTATGTCTTGGTAATGATTCACATTGTAAATTGCTGTTAAAAGTTGTTCTGTGTCACATCAGCTGACATGATGGCAGTGAACTCAATTTATTTTACTTTACCTGGAACGATAACACTCAGTCATTTGGCAGTTAAAATGTGAAGTCTCACATGAGCAGTGGCGTCATGCTGAGCCCTCCATGCCATTTCCATGCCATATAGTATGTCTGTTTCAGTCCATTTATATGCGATCACTGTGTGGTCCATTGCCATGCCACATAGTATGTCAATTTCAGTCCCTGTATATGCAATCACTGCGCAAGTCTATCACGAATCAATGTACGTCATCACACTGTCATTAGCATGATGTGGGGCTAAATTGTAGAATACCCGTCCACTAGTCATTTTTCACTGCATAGCTACATTTCCAGTGGCTACACGGCTACGCAGTCACACACTATCAAATTACAATATCAAGGAAGTATAACGGAAATACCTCTCTTTTGGTAATTTTACACCAAATTATATCACTCCGTAGCCACGTAGCCACTAAAAAATATACCTTCCATACAATTACGTCATTATATCAATGTCTCGTTCTTTCAAAAAACTCACTGCATAGCCGCATAGCCACTAAAAAATATACCTTCCTTACAATTACGTCATTATATCAATGTCTCGTTCTTTTAAAACTCACTGTGTAGCCGCGTAGCCACTAAAATATATATCAATGCCTCGTTCTTTTAAAAACTCCGCCGGCACTGCATAGCCACGTAGCCGATATTTCTAGCGGGTCTTCAAAAGTGGATGGGTATTCTGCAATCGCTCCTGATGTGGCATTGGCTTCACGTTTCTCCCACATGTTATCATTCCAGATAAAAGACACAGAGTTCACTGCATGACAGCTTATGGTGCCATCATGATGACATGATCAATCATGATCACATGTCATCATGATCGATCATGACGTCATCATAATCTGTGCCTGCAATCAACTTGGACAAGACTGGCTAAATACCATTTAATGTGTTGTGATGCTTGTGGGACCATATCAACTTGTTGAGCATGTGCGATCAAAATATTTGTTACGTTCCCACAATCATAGCATAAAAATACTTGATATATTAAAATTCTGAAAGGTCACAAATCACATGTAAACAAAATATACCTTATCTGGAACGGCTTTAGCAATACCACGTCCAACCCAGGCCAAGCATGTTACCATAGTAGGCATTTTGCCTGATTTTTCTCAATACTTCAACAATATTTCTATATTTTATACAACTGTTTACATTTTCCATTGAATTTCGAATGTTTTTTTGAAATATACAAGCTTTCACACGTGTGCTGTTGATAGAAAATGATGAAAATGACAGTGGTTGATAATGGGATGATGGCAGTTGATATCGGAGGATGATATTATTGATATATAACGCGGATGTTGTAGGATACCAGTTGATAACGGTTAAAGAATAATGGTTGATCAATATGGATGTTATGGGATAATAGTTGATAACAGTTGATTGAAATAAATGGCAAGGAATAACAGTTGATAGAAGCCGATATTTAGGAATAATAGTTGATAACACTAAATGTTTAGGTATAATAATTGATGTTCAGGTATAATAGTGGATGAAAATTGATATTGAGTAATAACAGTTGATAGAACAGGATGTTGTGGAATAACAGAAGATACAACTTGATATTTAGGGATAAACAGTTGATGATGTAGAATACAGGTGATAGTAAAGAATATTGGAGGATAATTATGGTTATTATCCCGCATGCCTAATCATTAAGCCCTCCCTAAAATTGCCCGCCTTACTTTTCCGAAACCGTAATGTTTACATGTAAATCCAGCGGATGATGGCAAAAATCCTTGCTCGCGCATTTCAAAGAATTTTTTAAAAACTCGAAAAAATAAAAACAAAAATTTCACTTCAAAATATAGTTGGAAAAAATCGATTTCGCTGCATTGAAATTGCAGATTTTGTGAAAGATTTGTGCCTCCTTGGATGGCTGGCCTTCAAGACGAACAAAACCACACAAATATGGCTACGGAAAGCGACGACGAAGTAGAAAAAATTAGCCTTGGAGTTCGGACGAAATTTCAAGTCTGCCTCAATGGCGCCCATAATTTGGACTGCGGTAAGAACGAAGGGAAAGTTACGAAGCATTTTCGGCCTGTGAATAACGAACAGGGGCCTAAGAACTTGGGCGTCAAGCCGTATTTTGGCTCGGGAAGGCATGGGAAGTGTGGCAACGCTGTGAATAAGTCTGTTCCTGATGGCAAAATGACACTGATTGTCGATGATACTCGTTTTGTTGTTGAGAGGAATAAATTTGATTCACGACCTAATACAATGTTGGCTAGGTATGTATCGAATCTAGCGCACAGCTGCACAATAACAGTGATGCAACTACCAGAAAAATATGAGCAAAACTATTTACTTCTACTTCAATGAAGTTGAAGGGCGTTTGCTTGAGACGCAGAAATTTTGCTAATATATTTTTCAGTCTGTGTCTGTCAATTTGCAGCTGTCTTCTTATCATGGCCCTGACTGGAATGTTTGGAAATTGCGTGCCGGAGATTTTGAAAATTTAATAGTAAATATATAGAAAGCATCAAAATTGTGCGGCCGATATCTCCGCCGTGCGATACAATGGCACCAGTGCTGTAAGTAACTTCGTTACAAGTAACGAAATTACAAGTAATCGTTACTTTTTGAGTAACGGTAACTAGTTACTTTTAAAAATAAGGTAACTGTAACGAGTTACATTTTGGCCTAAAATGAAACGATAACACGTTACTTTTATAGCCGACGTTTACGTTACTTTTTTCGTTACATTCTTGCGGTTAAAACTTACAATTCACCTCTCAGTTCTCGAAATTCTCCTCACGGTTTTCTACGACAACGCATGGTTCAGTGCTTAACACATCTGAGAGATCCATTAGTGGTAAGGTTACATAACGTTTACAAATAATTAACGTCATCTGCTGACCACTAATCATTAAGTTGAAAGAAACTGGGTTTTTTCATAATTGAAGTAACTTGTAACTAGTTACAAAAATATTGAAGTAATTTTGTAACGGCAACTAGTTACATTTTTTTAAGTGTAACTTTTACCAGTAACTAGTTCCTTTTTTGGGAATGTAACTGTAACTGTAACTAGTTCCAAAAAATGAGTAACTTTTACAGCACTGAATGTACTACAATTAGTGTACGTAATAGGATGGTTTGACTGCAATTTGGATAGGACATGCACGAGTTAGCTTTTCAAAGAGTATCAAAATAGCATGACCCAAAGGACAAGTGCTATTCAAGGTCTTTGAAAAATTCACAAAGCAATCTGTGACCGTTATTTGAGGACTGCCTTAAGCTTATTGGTTGATTTTAGATCTCGTTTTTTCCACCAATCAGATCAGTTTGTTACAGATTTTTGCATCGCTGTTTGAGATTGCACTGAAATCAACCAATCACAGCCGAGTAATAATTTTACGTATATTATTAGATAGTATACAATGGGTCATTCCAGAAAACATCCATACCACCCTCACAGAGGAAATATGAAGTTAACCCCCCTACCCCCTTCGGATGTCCTAATACATTTACTATTATCAGAAACAATTTTTTCTCCCCTCCCCCTCCGGACGGCAGAAATTTCCTCCGTGGAGGGAGTATGGATCTTTTCTGGAACGACCCAATAATAAAAAATAGAAATATTTTCTGGGGGACCATGCCCCCGGATGGCCCCCCCCCAATTGTTTGAGGCTGCCTACCCCCTGCACACAACTGAGCATTTTTATCATTTACAGAATGTTCTCTCCATCGACAGACTACGGTCAGAAGAACGACAAAGGGGAGTTTGTTGTTGCCCAAGGAGTATCATCGAATGTCTTCAAATCAATTCTGGTAAGAAATATCCCCCTTGGAACTGTTAGAGTTAGGGCCTGAAATTTACTTTTCAAAATGATTTTAGTGGGGAAGATATTAGCAGACCCCAAACTGAGCATGCTCTAACTAATTTAAAAATGAAAATTAAAGCCCAGCAAATGACTTTCAGACAAGACATAACAAAAATATAAAATTTATTGGCTAACGTTTCGTTGTATTGTTCACAACATCTTCAGAGCGATTAAACTTATTTACAAGTGTGTATTATATATATACAAATTTTTAAATGGTTACATTATTCAAATAAGCGAATAAGAGGAAGGGAAATTTTCATTTTCATTTTATTTTTCATTTTTGTTATGTCTTGTCTGAAAGTCATTTGCTGGGCTTTAATTTTCATTTTTAAATTAGGCCAAAAAAAATATGTGGGTTTCCAGTTTCTTCTTATAAAAACTTAGGTAGGGTAGGTCGGTTTTAAGTTGTTTTTTTAAAACTTTTTTTTAAATTTTCCTAACAACCGGACGTCATTTTGTTTAGTCAGTGCTTCCACATCCAAAGATATATTTCCCTAATATTGCCTCAAATTTCAATTTTCCACAAACTTTTTCCTCTAAGTGGAAACACTTACAAGCATGACCCAATAAAAAAGTTTAGGGTCGGGATTTCGACATCCAAAAGCTAGGTAGGGTCAGGAAACCGGAAACCCACATATTTTTTTTTGGCCCTATGCTTTCCACCCGGTGTATCAATCGCTGCTGTTTTAACCATGCTCTGCATAAAGTTTTTGCAAATTTTGCGGAATTTGCAAACGTTTTCGAACTGTGCAGTTTTTTTATACACCCTGTATATTTTTGTGTGTTGATGTTATATACTCACATTACTCAGGTGAATAACGGGCTCGAATTTTATCGCGGCAATTGCCGTAGAGGGAGAACAAAATGCTGTGGATCATTGTGGCAACGATGGCAATTTTTTGCCGTATAGTGCAATTTTTTTACTATTCACTGTGCATTACTACTTTGATACTTGAATTCAGATGTTGATCAAATCATGCGTAAATCACTGTTTTAGTCTCAGTTTTCTTTGAAAAAAAAACACCAAAGAAATATGTAGACATGTTTCTAGCTTGTCAAAAATCCAAAGTAACAGTAAAATTAAAGTTTTATTACAGTAATTTGGAAAATGCCATGGAAACTGCCCCAATTGCCATAGACAGCTGTTACGTTCTACGGCAATTTTTAACACGATTGCCGTCGATTGATTTCAGGGAAATTCATGGCCTTGGTGAATATGATGTTTGTGATGTTACTCTGAGTGTATATCCACACCGGGCAGGCTGAAAAGTTTGCCTGACCAGCTTGTGGTGTGGATGCGCACTCAGAGTAACATCACAAACATCATATATTCACCTGAGTACATAACAACAACACACACAAAAATGTCTTAGAATACAGTACATTGATATCGATCGAACTAGCTCAGTTCCGAAATCTCACCAACTCGAACCGACTTGACCTCATACAGTAGCTCAGCAGGGCTTTCAAAATAAGCTGGCGGCTGCCGGAGCTCCGGCGGGTGCCACAAGGTTCACCGCCGGTTACTTTGTTTAGTACTTGAGTGATCAATTCTGCTCTCCTTTCTCGAACTCTAAGCTTTCAAACAAAGTTATTTTTCCCAAAGGTCGCGGGTTTGATTCCCACCGTGGTCAGGCAAACTTTTCAGCTTGCCCGGTGTGGATGCACACTGAGAGTAACATCACAAACCCTGTATATATTGTATTTGTATGTATATATTTTGTATTTAGGATTATTACAGTGTTGGTATAATTCACTGTCCACCAACTGTACCCATTCAAGAACTGAGAGAAGCTTGCGACTACTTGCTTATTCCGTTCAACGCTACAGTCATCAAGTGTCATAACTTAAGTAAGTGGTATTTTGACACCAAATGAAATGCTGATCAATTCTTATATACCTCGTACCCACTGAACAATTCAACATTACGTTTTTTTCTTTAGGGGATTTACTTCATGAGTTTTCAAATGACGGAGCCAGAGAACAGTTTAGAAAATATTTGGAAATAGATATTGTTCCTCTCATGGTACAAGCTGCTAAGGTATTGGAAATATTTCATTTCTCTGGGTACTTCCATTTCCTCGTGTGGTAACACTGGATTAATAAAAGATGACTCTTACTGGGCCTCTAGAGAAAACAGTTTAGAACTGATGGAGCTATCCAGTTAAATAATGTTAGTTTAGTTTAGGTTTCCTCCTGTAGTAACACTGGATCAATAAGAGATGATCCTTACTAGACCTCTAGGGAGAACAGTTTATAACTGACAGAGCTATCCAGTATAAATAAAGTTAGTTTAGTTCAGGTTTCCGCCTGTAGTAACACTGGATCAATAAGAGACGATCCTTACTGGACCTCTAGGAAGAACAGTTTAGAACTGATAGAGCTATCCAGTATAAATGAAGTTAATGTAGTTTATTTAAGTTTCCTCCTGTAGTAACACTGGATCAATAAGAGATGATCCTTACTGGACCTCTAGGAAGAACAGTTTAGAACTGATAGAGCTATCCAGTATAAATAAAGTTAGTTTAGTTTAGGTTTCCTCCTGTAGTAACACTGGATCAATAAGAGATGATCCTTACTAGACCTCTAGGGAGAACAGTTTATAACTGACAGAGCTATCCAGTATAAATAAAGTTAGTTTAGTTCAGGTTTCCGCCTGTAGTAACACTGGATCAATAAGAGACGATCCTTACTGGACCTCTAGGAAGAACAGTTTAGAACTGATAGAGCTATCCAGTATAAATGAAGTGTAGTTTATTTAAGTTTCCTCCTGTAGTAACACTGGATCAATAAGAGATGATCCTTACTGGACCTCTTGGAAGAACAGTTTAGAACTGATAGAGCTATCCAGTATAAATAAAGTTAGTTTAGTGTAGGTTTCCTCCTGTAGTAACACTGGATCAATAAGAGATTATCCTTACTGGACTTATAGGAAGAACAGTTTAGAACTGATAGAGCTATTCAGTATAAATAAAGTTAGTTTAGTTTAGGTTTCCTCCTGTAGTAACACTGGATCAATAAGAGATGATCCTTACTGGATCTCTAGGAAGAACAGTTTAAAACTGATAGAGCTATCCAGTATAAATAAAGTTAGTTTAGTTTAGGTTTCCTCCTGTAGTAACACTGGATCAATAAGATCTGATTCTTACAGGGAGAACAGTTTGGAACTGGTAGAGCTATCCTGATTAAATTCAAATTTTTAATTTTGTTTCCAGATGGGTCGACGTGAATGTCATGTTGTTATTCTAACAAATGATGATGTCGTTGAATGGGATGAAGAATATCCTCCTAGTACTGGAGAAGAAGACACTCAAAGTAGGTTTATTGAGTGATTTTTAGTGTTCCAAGTTTACATGAGATGATTAGGACGTTTTGCTTAGACAAGAGAGACATCTCGAAATAAAAACTCATCCAAAATAAGTAGCTTGATCTGTGATTTGTATTTTCTAGTTATCTATTCCTCGGATCTCAATGGTTTTTTCAAGTATTTTGAGAATAGAGATGTCGCTAAAGAGGTTCTCAAGGAGCGTGGTTTAAAAAAGATCAGACTGGGAAATGAAGGTGAGACGAAAACCTGATTTACACTATCAACTAGTTTCTGTCACCACACAGGGCTCAAAATAACGGCCGGTCAACGGACAATGACCGGCCAAAAATGCCAGGCTGTTAGCTAGCCCATATACT